TTCTCCCTCTGACCCTCCTCCCTCTCATGCTCTCTGTCTCTCATTCTCTCTCTCGCAAATAAATAAAATCTTAAAAAAAAAAAAAAAATTTAAAATGCAAGCTGCTCTCTCCTGTCACCTGCTGACCCCACACCCCCATGGCGGTTCTGGCTCTCACAGCTGGGATTTCTCTTTCTGGTTTCCTAGTTCAGTCCTGCATCAGGCTTGTTTTTGTTGTCGTTTATTCATCTCTAGATGTTCTTGATCAGATTTTTCCCCCACCAGTCTAGTCCACCATTTTCTTTTGTAAACTGTCCAGGGATGTACAATGTGAATAATGGGATTACCTCCCAAGCCTTTGGCATTTGTCCCTCCTTCCCCACTGCCAGTGGTCACTGTCCCACCAGTTCTCCGTTGGGATACCTCCCCCAATCCCGACATGGAGCTACCCGCTTGGGTTTGTTTCACTCAGTTCTTGTCAACCTCCTCCTACCACTGGCACCTTTCCCTCCATCTCTGTCCTCTTTATTGAGAAATGTCAAGTAAGCCTTGGAGGAGCAAGTGATATGTGGTACGTGTTTGGTTAGGCAGAGAAACCATGAAAACACGAAATGTATTTTCTTTCAGTCTTTAGTTCTGGCTGGTTGCACTTAGAGTGGAAACATGCATGTTCTCCCAAGGGCACACAGGCTGTGTATCTGGTACCATAGTCAGGTAGTTGGGGAGCAGTGCGGGAAGGACTTACTCTTTTAGTAGTTAGTTGCTTTTAACTGAGTTTTGAAATGCTCATTGCGATTTTTAAATTTTAACACGGACAGTTTATGGGGCACCTGGCTGGTGCAGACAGAGGAGCCAGTGACTCTTGATCTCAGGGTTGAGTCCGAGCCCCACGCTGGGTGTAGAGATTACTTAAAATGAATAAAATTTAAAAAAAATAATAAAATGGACAGTTTACTACATTGCCTTATTCTCTTTATATACCTATTTTTGCATTTTTTTCTAAACCATTTGAGAGCAAGTTGAGGACGTGATGTCCCATTACTCAATACTTCAGTGTATATATTTCCTTCAAATGAAGATTCCCCTCCTACGTGACCACTATATAACCAGTAAAATCAAGAAATCGACACTGATTCAATACTTCATCCAATCCCCAGAATGCTGAGTTTTCCAACGACGCCCTTTATGAGTGGTGGATCCAGTCCGGCACCACACATTGGATTTAGTTGCCAAGTCTCTGTAGTTCCCTTCAGTTAGGAACAGTCCCGGCTTTCCGTGATTTTGACGGTTTTGAAGATTTCAGGCCAGTTTCTTTCCGGCCTATCTTCAGTTTGAGTGTGTCTGGTATTTCCTCGTGATGAGGTCGTAAAGCCTGAATCTAATCGTGAGGAAGTATCAGTCACAGACTCACGACAGCCCCTTCCCAGCTCTGCTTGCCGCCCCCCCGTCCCCGCCCCCGACGCGGGGGCCCAGGACAGGCCGCGCGGTGAGCAACCTGCTTCCAAGTCCGCCACGCGCCTCATCCCTGCGTGCTCGGCTGCGCATGCGCAGAACTGCAGGGTCTGCGGGAGGACCGGACCCGCCGCGGTGTGCACAGTAAGGCGGCACCTCAGCGCACAAGCTACAGGATGAGGTGCCGCAAGGACCCAGACAAGGCTGGGCAGGACAGACTCCGTTTGTTCCCTTGTCCGTTAGACATTTATGGAGCACCTACGGTGTGCCAGTGCTGAGTAACGAGCAGATCAGCACCACCTCTCCCCGCCCCCGTGGAGTTTAGAGCGGGAGACAGAGGAATATGCCAGACTTCCCTGAAGAAGGGGGGTGTTTGGTCAGACATTTATCGAGAGCACCCTATGACTGAGCGCCCTGCTTCCGCCAGGCCAGCCAGACTAGGGATGGGATGGGGCTGGTCTCTGGATGCGCCAGGCCGGGTATAGGAGCCCATCCCCCTGCAGACGTGCCATAGGAAGCCGTGTGGGAGGAAAAAGGCCGGGGTTCCGGCTCCGCAGCCTGCCGTCCCACCCTCGGTGACATCTCCTCCATCCTGCGCGCCTGGCCGCTGGACCGGTACTCGGAGGATTCCTGTCAGCCTCCAGACTTCTCCCGACAGAAGCAGCCGGTGGCCTTTGTACATCGCAACCTGCCTGGCTTGGACCTGGAATGTTGTGTCCAACTTTTCCAGAACCAGCTCCAGCACCAGCTGTAACCCGAGATCCAGAGCTGGAGATGGCTTTGGCACCATTTCTAGCTGCAGACCTACAGTCAGAGCCGACTCTAGAGCTAGAACAAGCTCCAGTACCAGCTCCAAAGCTAGAGCCAGCCCCAGCCCAGATCCCGTGCTCCCCTACCACCAGCTCCAGAGTTAGGGCCAGCTCTGGTGCCAGCTACAGAGCTACATTCAACTTCAGTGCCAGCTCTAGAGTTGGCCGGCTCCAGATCCAGTGCCATCTCCAAAGCTAGAGCCTGCCAGCTCCATGACCAGCGTCAGCCCTAGCACAAGTGCCAGTTCCAGTTCCAGAGCTAGAAGTAGCTCTGGCCCCTACTCCAGCCCGGGTTCTAGAAACTGCGCCCGAGCTACAGCCTTACTGAGTGTCCGCTTCAGAGCTAGAATAAGCTTCAGGGCGCCTGGGTGGCTCAGACGGTTAAGCGTCTGCCTTCGGCTCAGGTCATGATCCCGGGGTCCTGGGATCGAGTCCCGCATCGGGCTCCCTGCTCCTTGGGAGCCTGCTTCTCCCTCTGCTTCTCTCTCTCTCTCTCTCTGTCTCTCATGAATAAATAAATAAAATCTTTAAAAAAAAAAAAGAATAAGCTTCAGCACCAGACCCAGCAATGAGTCAGTGCTAGGTCCAGAGCTAGCTGTCGGCTCCGGCACCGGAGCCAGAACCAGAACGAGCTCTCGGGCTTCCGTTGACTATCTGAGCATACTTAAGACCGTTGGTTTAAAGCTTTGGCTAGTAAGAATGTCTATAGACTTCTGCACGGATGGTTTCTGTCATTCCCCCCCCCCCCTTTAAATGGACCATAATCCTGTTTCTTTGTATGATTTGTTTTTGTTGAACACTGGACATTTGAATATAATATGTAACCGGAAACCAGTTCCTCCCCTTCCCCAGAGTTTGCTGTTTTTGATTATTGAAGGCTGCAGACATCTTTTTGGTGACTTTCTCAAACTAGTTTTGCAAGGACTGTCAGCCTTGTCATGTGTGGTCACTTGAAGTCTCTGTTCAGCCAGTATTTTGACAGAGATTTCCTTGAGTACCAGGACCCCGAATAACCAAAACCTCTATCTCTGTCTTCCCAGACTGACTCCGTGCTGGGGTACTCTTTAACACAGCCAGTTTAGCTCTTTTAACTCTACCTTAACCTTTACTTCCTGCTTGGACTGAGCCAAGAGACCAGCCAGAAAGGAAAGCTCAGGGTCTTCTCAGGTCTTTTCTGAGCATGCATCCTATCCAGGCCATGCATGTCGCTTTCTAAATTCCCTAGTACATGAGGTCACTTTTGAACACTCTAATGTCCTAAAGAAACTCTCCCCAGCATTTCTTTGCAGGCTTTAGGTGGTCTATTTTATGTCTTAAGCATAATCTTTTGCTTCAGGTGGCTACAGGTTTTGGGCACCTTACCAAGTTTTTGAGCAATGCCCAATACTTTTCTGCCGAGTGAGTTCGAGTCAGGCAAAACAGAGACGAGCACCTTGTGTCAGTCTTCCTAGCCCTAGACAGGTTAGAACAAACACAATCATTGGTTGCATAGTGTCCTTTGATGCACAGAAGCTTTAATTTTGAAGTCCAATGTTTTTCTTTTGTTGCTTGTGCTTTGGGCATCGTATTTAAGAAACCATTGCCAGATCCAAGGTCATGAAGACTGCCTTATGTCTTAAGAGCTATTTAGTCTTAGCTCTTAAATTCAATTTTCATTCATTTTAACTTCTTAACTTAACCTGGTATAAGGTAAGGGCTCACTTTCCTTCGTTTGCATGTGGATATCGTTTTCTAGCCCCACTTGTCAGAGAGACTGGTTTTCCCCATTGAATGGTCTTGGCGCTTGACAAAAATCATTTGACTGTAGACGTATGGGTTTATTTCTGTACTCTTAATTCTATTCCACTGAACGGCAGGTCTCTCTTTATACGAATACTGCAATGTTTTGATTACCATAGCTTTGAAGTAATTTTTGAAACCTCAAAGTGTGAGTCCTCCAACTTTGTTCTTTTTCAAGATTCTTTTGCCTATTTGAGATCACTTGCAATTCCATAGGAATTTTAGGATCAACTTTCCCATTTCTGCAGAAATAGGCCATTGGGATTTTGATAGGGATTGCATTTAAACTGTAGACCATGTTAGGAAGCATCGCTATGGTAAGCAGACATGTGATGGCGATGACAAAAGATTGCTTTTCTGCTGCATCCCACAGACCTAGGACTCCTCAGGAGAGTGACAAAGGGACAGAATAACGTTTCTATGTTCCATCCACTGGGTCTGTGTAGTTCCCTGAGTGGTAGAATGAGATTTAAGTTTGGGAAATTATTTGCCTGGTTGATTTGGAAACATTTAAAATAAACATTTTGTCCTTGTTCTATACTGAGGACACATAACCAGACTTCTATGCAGGTGTGTATGGATTCATCCAAAACTCTCAGTAGCCTCCATCTCTGAGATGGATGATGGGCAAAGGCGGGGTCTGCCCCTAAGAAAAGCTTTCTCCTGGCAGAGCTTCTGCAAGGGAGAACCCTGGGCATTCAAAACAGAAACAGCACTTGAAACATGTCTGAGGCGGAGGAAAAGCAAATACCAAGACCCTGAGTTAGTCACCAACTTGGTCTCTCAAGTCATCGGCTGGCAGCAGCATCTGCAGGAAGGCTTGGGAGCTCCAGGGTCTAGTGAGGAGGAAGCAGGTCAATAAGGTGATGCTGTCAACAAAAAGGCCGGCGGGAGCTTCAGCTACATTGAAAAAAGTACAGAAATTAAACTATTGAGGGGGTCCTTCCACACCCAGCCCCCACGATTTAACAGACACGTACCCAAGGGGTGGGAGTCAGGGGAATCCTTAATCCTCAGGGAGACAGGTTTCCCCTTAACCTAAGCAAGAGCTCTCTTCAGTTAGAGGGGTCCGAGGATGGGTGGTCTCCAGCGCTAGCTAGCTGTGTTTGACCAGAAGCCAGAAGGCCGCTTGGCAGGATGCAGCTGGGAGATTGAAGGATGGGACAGCTCTCGGAGCAGATGCCAACCTTGATGGTCCCTCCAGCCTTCTCAGAGGGTTGGACACTGGCTACAGGGCTGCCACGGACCTTTGTAGACCTGATATCCTGCAGGCCCCTCAGGAGGCTTCACCGGGGACTTGACCCGCCATCAGACCTGGCTCTCAGCAAGGCACCCGGGTGCGCTGCGCTAGCGCCCCAACACGGTGGAGCTGGGGAAGAACAGGCTCCAGGCCTGCGGGCCAGCCAAGCCGCCAGGGGGCGTTACCCTGCAGACAGCACTTCCCCAGTTCCCCACCCCACATCTGGCATCATTTTCAGCAGGGTACCAAGGCAGTAAATAACCTCAAGTCTTAGAGTGAGAAAGTTCCTTCCTGAGCAGTTCCCATTCCAGGTTTCTAACTTTATTAAGGAGAAAATTCTCACTTGTGTGCCAGTATGTCTAATTCCCCCCACGACATCCCTTAACCTCCCTTTGTACAGAGAGAGCAAGCCTCAGGCTCAGACTCTCTGCAGGCACAGTATCAAACTGCAATTTTGTAACCTGGTTTACGTTCACTTTTACAGTTACATTCTAGTTATATCAAGCGTAAATTTAAAAAAACAACAATTAGGTTTAAGGAGTTAATTGGGACGCCTGGGTGGCTCAGTTGGGTGGGCGCCTGCCTTCGGGTCAGGTCATGATCTCTGGGTTCTGGGATTGAGCCCCGTGTTGGGCTCCCTGCTCAGCAGGAGCCTGCTTCTCCCTCTGCCTGCCGCTCCCCCTGCTTGTGCTTTCTCTCTCTGTCAAATAAATAAATAAAATCTTAAAAAAAAAAAGGGGGGGGAGTTAATTTAAAAAATATTAAGTAATTCACAGTACAAGAGGTACAGAGATCTGGCAAAAATCATGAACGTGCTGCACTGACAACTCAACTTTGGGTAACACTGTTCTAGAATAAGGGCTTTGGGCTCAAATCGTTTTCCATCTTAAGTTTCCGTGCTTTCTGGGTTTTGTCTGTTCCTCTCGTTGTTGCTGTTTCCTCACAAGATTATTTTTGAAAAATCTCTGACCTTATTTTAGTTGACTAAAGGGAAAGAGATTTATTTTTACCTGGGTTAGGACAAGAAAAACAGAAGGGCCCTAGAGGTTAGTGACTCAGGTACAACCGGCAAAGGGAAAGCGCAGGTGTGGAGAGAAGTGAAAAACCAGGCGCAGAAGTTTCCAGTACAATGGAGAGTGCATCTCCCTTCCCCCCAGGCTCCCAAATACAAGTCTGTGGATTCAATTTAAAAGGTCACCTTACAGTGGAAAAGAAAGAGAAAGAAAGAAGGCTGCAATTTGTAAGAAATGTTTATCTTTTTAAAAAAGTTATAAAAGTTAAATATTTGTCGATTAAAGTTAAAAAATCTATGGCTACAAAATTTAATGGATTTAAAAGATTTCTGGATTGCGTGACTTTAAGCCCAATATTCTCTCCACAATGACCCTACATTTCTCACAGATCCCACACTTTCAGGTTTTTCTTTAGAAAACACGATCTGAGGCTGTTTGTAAGCAATCGGCACCCCGAGTGCAGGGAGCTCTGGCTGAGGCGGCAGGAGGCGCCCTCGCAGAACTGCGTGCCCCGCAGCGAGCCACACCCCGGCCGGGCCCCCCCTGCTGCCAGTGCCCCCCGCACAGGGCCTGGGAGGCGAGCCAGGGATCTCCCGGGCCCCACAGGCCCCCCGTCCCCCGGTCTCTCCGGGAGAATGCCGATCTGCCCCGAGCTGGGCACTTCTTCCAGGGGCCAGCCACACCCTTGGCTTCACTCCACTTTGATTCTGGTCAGTTCCCATCTTCCTTCTCCGCAGAGTTTCAGAACCAAGGAGTGAAACTGCAAGAGACCAGCACGACGCAGATCAGGCCACGCTGGCCATAGCCAACGGGAGGCCATCCCTCCCCTGCCCTCTCCGCTACCCCCAGTCCCCATTTTGAAGGGCCCCTGGCCCTCGTCAGGCCCAGCCTCTGGGCTCTTCCTCCTCCTCAGGCCATCTCTACGAGCTTGGGTACCCTCTCGAGGCTACGTCGGTGTCCCACGCTGATGAACGTCATGCCCAGCTGCTGGCCAATGCGGTAGAGCTCGCTCTCCACCTCCTCGGTCAGGGCACTGGTGGCTTCATCAAGCACTGAGGGCAGAATCCGGCGGGAAGAGATCGGCTCCTGCCCCTGGCCCACCTCTGCCTCTCCAAACCACGCTCACCTCTGTCTGCCTGGGACCCAGGGCGAGGCTGGCTGGAAGCGGCTCTGGCTTACAGGAGCCCTGCCACAGGAAGAGCAGGCCAAAAGAGCAGAGGGCGAGGCTCCACCTGGGAAGCCTTCTACCAGCGGCAGGATGAAATCCTCCGGCTTCCTAGAGTAAGCACCAGCACTTCCTAGAAGCGCTCAAACCAGCGCTTCTTAGTTCCCCCAAGGACGCCAGTCCCTGAAGTTCACACCTGCCATCCCTCCGCCAGGCACAGCTGGGGGTGTTGCCCGCTTATTGACGGCAGAGGCTCAGGAGCATAAAATCGCAAGCTTTTTAGGCTGGCTCCAGCTGCTGCCATGGCAGAATGCTCCAGAACACGTGGTGTAACATCCCGAGCTGATCTGGGGATGCCAACCTTGCTGCCGCAAGGGTAGAGCCCTGGCATCCTCCCCCGCAGGGACAGAGATGCCCGGCCACGCACAGGGGTGCTCTCCTCCGTGTCTGAACGCCCCCGTGGTTACACGTGGAACACACACACACACACACCCGTGAGCACACAGTACCGGGCATGCACACTGCCGGGGCAGACCTCACCTGCATATTTTGGCTGCAGGTAGAAGAGTCGGGCAAAGGAGAGCCTCTGCATCTCTCCTGGGGACAGAACATCATACCTGAGGAATGGGAGTGAAAGGACCACTAGAGGAAGGAGGATATGGCTTGGCTTTTGCATAGAATGGGGTCTAAGCAAGAAGAGGTTCTTGGGGCAGAGAGGCTGGTCCTGGGACAGACTGACATCACCCTCCCCTTTCAACCGCAGTCCAGCCCATCATGAGATGGGCTGCCCACATGAGGTGAGGCCAAAACGCTGCTCCCGAGGGCATGAACATGCCCCTGATGGGCCAGCAAAAACACCTGGAACCCACTGTGTGGTGGGGAGCTGGCTCTGGAGCACCCGACTCCCTTCTTACCAGTTCCAATCAACCTGCTGGTCCAGACCCTCTGTCCTGGTCACCAAACTGGACTGTAACACACCCAGAGGGAATGCTGTCTGTGAGAGGGCCCATCCCTGCTTCCTGCCACCCCTCCACACACACCTCTGAGGCAGCTACAGCCCTGGCAGGGGCCGTGGGAGCGATCCGTGCCCCGCAGGGGGGACTATCCTATCAACTACACTGTTTACATCTGCTAAGCAGACTTAGTTTTATTATCATTTTAAAAGTCGATGCAGAGAATGCACCCCCTGGTTGCCTGCACCTGGCCAACCGCTCCCCTCACCACTTTCTACTCCCACTCCCGCGGTCCAGGCTCACACTTCCGGTCCTGGGCCCCGGGCACTATGCCGGCTCTGCTGGACCAGCCCTTGTGGTCAGTGCTACCAGGTGGGCCTGGGCCTCAGCGTCCCTGCCCACACTCACCAGGCCTGCCAGCTCCAAGAACCTCATGATCCTCTCATCATCAGTAGAACCTGCAAAACAGACAAGCCTTCTTCAAGAAGTCAGTTCCTTCTGGGCAGCCAGAAGAGAGGCTGCCAGGGATCTCCCGTGGAAGGGGGTAGGGCTGGGGGGGGCGCCAGAATCTGGGCTAAAGCTCTGCAGTGACAGGGTTATAGCACTTAATACACAAAGGAAGGGCCAGGCGAAGGAAGTAGTCCCTTCCCTTCCTCCAATGGGGGTCTCTCCTCAAGGAGGGGAAGACAGAACAAGATGAGGTCAGGGTACAGACCCCAAAATAGTAAACACTTGAAGGAGAAGAAAACTACCTCAAACCAGCAGCCTTGCTGGAGCCTCTGCCAAAAGGCACTGGCGAGGCCCTAATCAGGCAGAGCAGGGGCAATTTAGATGGGAGGACATGCCCCAAGGAGGCCCAGCTCACCTGAGTCCGGGTAGATTTCCTTCAGGGGATATATCACCTGATAAAACAAAACCACACAGGCCTAAGATGAGAGGCAGTGCTGCACACAGCCTATCCTCCCCAGGAGGATACAGCCCCAGGAACTGCCAGAGGCCAGGCTCCTCTCCACCTGAGGATGGTAAGGACCACCCCGGCCAAGGGTCCAGTGGGAGAGCCGGGGCCAGCAGACAGTGGGACAGGGTCACTGCAAACGTCAGATGTGTGTCTGAGGGGAGTCTGTGAGCCTCCTAAGGACACAGCGTCCAGAATCCAACCTTGGCGGCCAACAAATATATGTGGTATTTGGTTTCGGCCCCCACAGGTTAACCTGCCCCCAGGAGCTGCTCTAACTACATGGCCCAATCCACGGAAGTGAGTAAAATGTTCGTAGAACCAGGGAGTTCCTGGGCAGGAGCCATTTACTACCCCACCTTCTGCCCCATAACTTTCTAGAGCTGAAACCTGTCAGACTGCCAGAGGTCTCCGGTAGCCAGAGGTAGGTGCGGGCCCCAGGCTGACCTGCTCCCGAAGGGTCCCATCCGTGAAGAATGGCTTTTGTGGCAGGAACAGCACCCCATGGGGTCCAAAGTCCGTCAGCATCTGCACTGAGCCTGCAGGGCCCACAGAAACCTCCATTTTGAGATCTCCCAGACAAAGTAAGTGCCTCTCATTTCCTCTCCCCAACAAAAAGGCCTGGACTTTTACACACACGCACACACATGTGCGCACATGCACACACCTGCACGCACGCACACGCATCCCACCGGCCCAAGGCTGGCTCAGAGGCAGGGAGGGCTGGCTCTCACCCCGTGTGCTTGCCCAGAGGCCGCCGAGAACCCGGAGCAATGACGTCTTGCCCGTGCCCGTGTTGCCTGTGATGAGCAGGCTCTGCCCCTCAGAGATCTTCAGGCTCAGATCCCTGATTAAGGGTTTATTAGAGGAGGGGGCACAGATGGAGACCCGCTCGAGGAGAAAAGCTGTGTCTGTTGGCTCTGCGACCGGCCACTCTGGGGCCCTGCGGTCAGAAGACGAGGGGAGAGAAGAAGCATCAGTACCGCTGGGGGGCAGGGTCTTCTTCTCGGGGGCCTCACCTCTGGACAGGGGGGTTATGGGCTAAACTGTGTTCTCAAAATAACAGGCTGAAGTCTCAACCCCTAGTACCTCAGAATGTAACTGCATTTGAAGAGAAAGTATTTAAAGAAATGATGGCGTTAAAATGAGGCCATCAGGGGAGAGCTCTAATCCAATATGGCTGACGGCCTTCTAAGAAGAGGGAGAGACACCAGGGATGCTCCTCCACAGAGAAGAGGCTAGAAAAGGACACGGAGGAAGACGGCCATCTGCAAGCCAAGGAGAGAGGCCTCAGGAGAAACCAACCCTTGATCTTGGACTTCCAGCCTCCAGAACTGTGAGAAAATAAATGTCTTGGATAAGCAACCCAGTCTGTGGTATTTTGTTACGGCAGCTCGGGCACACGAACACAGAGGTAGGGCCGAGGGCACCTACTTTGTGCCAGGCTGTGCAAAGCCCCGCCATGACTGATCTTGATCAGCTTTAACACCAACGGATCACAAACATCATCCCTACTTGGCAGAGGGGGAAACCAAGTCAGGCGGCTCAGTAACTCCCTCAGGGTCACGGAGCTGAAGCTGTCTAACCTTAACCCTGGTGGGTGTGCACAGCGCGTGTGACCAGGGCCTGTGACAGGATGGGCGTGGTGGTCGGAAAGGGACCTGGAGTTTCTGGCTCTGGCACAGACGCCCCTTTCCCCCGGAGAACAGCACCTCTGGTCTCCTACGGTCGCCGCACCATCTCCCCAGCCCCAGGCCCACAGCTGCACGAAGGCTGAATTCTGAACGGGGGCAACAGTTAAGGCTTTAGTCCCTCAGAAGGGAGTTGTGTGTAGGCCCTGGAACACAGGCTGTTTCCATTTTTGAAAGCTTACTCTGTGGCCCCTGTCCAAGCACTTTCCACAGACTGTGACAGCTAATCCTCACAACCATCCTAAGAGGAAGGTTCCATTACCGTTCCCCTCACAGCGATGAAGAAACAGAGACACAGAACAGTTGAGTAATTAGCCCAAGAAAGTGAGGACATGAAACCAATCCTCAGTGCACAGAAAGGCCAGAAACATCACAACGCATGCAAGGAGACATGAGTAAAGGGACGCCTGGGTGGCTCAGTCCGTTGAGTGTCTGCCTTCAGCTCAGGTCACGGTCTCAGGGTCCTGGGATCGAGCCCCGCATCGGGCTCCCTGCTCAGCGGGGAGCCTGCTTCTCCCTCTGCCTCTGCCACACCCCTCCACTCGTGTTCTCTCTCTCTCTCAAATAAATAAATATAATTAAAAAAACAAACAAACACAGGAGACACGAGTAAAGCCACGTGTGAGGGTGAGCGAGGCCTGGGGAACAGAGAACAGGCAGGCCCCGAGGAAAGGGGCAGGCGGCAGGGCTCAGTGGGAGGCAGACTGCTCAGATTTCTGATTTGTCATCTCGGGCCCAGGCAGGAGTGGGCACCGTGCTTCCCGCAGCTGGGGGAAGGTGTAGGTGACAACAGATGCCAGAACAGCACCCCTGCCTGGGAACACCTGTGATGTGCCCGACACCAGGCAGAGAGGCCTGGCATCTGCTCTGCACAACTCTGCCGCCCGCGGGGAGAGAGCAGGGCTCTGGGGCGAACCCCAGCTGGGCGCGCCCACCACGGCACTGCCCTGCCAGCCCAGCACCCACCTGTCCATGTCCCACTCGCTCTCGTCTGGGACCTCGCCACCCCGCGACTTCAGGGACATGTCCAGCAGGGTCTCCTGAAGTTCCCCGATTCTGGGCAAGAAGTGAAAACCTGAGGTGGGCCTGGGGGCCCAGGTGAACGCATTCCTCCTTCTCTCTCACACCCACTGCCATATGGCTTTTCTGTTCCTTTTTTCATTCAGCTACTTCTCCCAGCGGCACCCGCTTTGCTCGGGACCTGGAGGGGCAGGACGCAGCCTCACCTGTGTGTGTAACCAGCCACATCTGAGAACGTGCCGGAGAGGTCGATGAGGCCGGTGAAGCAGCTGATGAGGTAAATGCACACAAAGGCATTCTGCACGGGACAGCGAGCAGTGAGCCCCGGCCCGGACTCCGAGGCGCCGGGCCGAGGGCAGAGGGGACGGCATGAGGGGTCACCAGGAGGGAGCCTCACCTTGCTGACCAGAGTGCTGAGCTCTGTGGGGCTCAGGTCTCCATAGACACCACTGAAAATAGGGATGGCGATCACAACGTAACTCAGGATGCTGCCCAGATAGTCGAATGTGTTGACACCGACTGCAGAAGGCAGAAACACCGAGGGTAAGAGACCCAGGAAGCACCGATGTGCTCTGAGGGAAGAGGAAGCCAAGTAGGACCAAGCTATTCCCCGGAGCCTCGTTCTCCCGAGGACACTCGTGGCAAAGACAGTGGCTCCCCGTGGTGAATTCCTTCATCACGGCAAACTGACTAGTGCAGAGAGAAAGCGAGGAGGTTTGGGGAGGGAAGGAGACGATCCCGCTCCCGGGGTTCCCGCCTCCCCAGGCTCCCTCCACCTACGGTACAGCCAGAGCTCCTTGGACATCAGCTCCCTCTGGGTCTGAAGGAGTCTCTGCAGCCTGCGGTCTGTCCTCACATGCTCCACGTGCCCAGCTCTGACGAGAAAGGCTGGGATGTTGATGGGGCCTGGAAAGCCTCAGCCGGGCCGGGGGACCCTCTAGCCCTCATCACACTCTCCTTTGGGTACCAACCCTATATCCAAATGGTCTTCATCTCAGACCCTTTCTGCCACTAGCATCCATTCACTGCTTCATTTACTCAGCACAGTATCGTCTGGGGAAAGAACATGAACTCTAGATTGGGCAGATCTGGCTCAAATCCTGGCTCTGGCCAATTACTAGCTGGGTGACTAATGTTACTTAAGCCTCAGAGTCTCAGTGTCTTCCTCGGTAAAATGGGGTTAATCATACCTACAAAATAAGTTAGAGAATTTCTAAACAGAAAGTGCCAGGCAGAAGAGGGACCCTTAAAAAATAACAGCTGTTATTATTAAGCGACTATACACAGAGCAGGTGCTCGGTGGCAGGCTCTGTGCTGGTTAGCCAGTGAGATAAACAAGGGGATAAAATAGTCCCTGTCCTTGAGCTCCCAGTTTAGGGGGGCAGGCAGACGCACTGCATTCTTCCCCTGGCACATGGAAAGTGTTAGAGGGACAGAGAAGCCAGGAAAGAACGCATCTAGAGCTCCAAGAACAAACCTGCTTTCCCCAGAGCCCAGAACTTCACGAGAGGCTGCAGAATGCCCAGCCCTACTGCCACACACCAAACCCCACCTCATAGATTCCTAGTATTCTTGGCGCCCTCAAGTGGTGGCAGCTGCAAAACGCAGCAAAGACAGACAAGTGCAAAGGTCCCAGGGTTATTAGATCCAGGTGATCCAAGAGCAGCTTCCACTCCTTAAACACACACCTCTGGGGCCTGAGTTATCTCTCTGGGGCCAAACAATGACTCCAGAGGTCCCACAGAAGGCAGGGCCCAGGGACCTATCCTGACCCTGAGGGAAGGCAGGAGATTTCACAATGCTGCTATCAGGAGATCAGACACTTTGTTCTACTTGGACAGTGTTTGTGGGGAGCAGGTCTCCTGATCTCCTGAGGCCTCCTTCCCCTCCCATCCTACAGAGACAAAGGATCAGTCTTGGAGACTTTGACCGGCCATCAGGCACTGGCAGAAAGCCATCTTGTAGATGGAAAAACAGAGGCAGAGGCAATGGCTTATAGTCATCACCAAGACGAGAATCATTCACTCGTTTCATTCTTGGAACAAATTTAGGCCCCCTGCTGGGTCACTAGAAGGAACAACCAGCTTCAGAAGCAAATCCCTGGACCTAAGGATGAGGCAGACTAGGACAGTGAGAGACATGGGGTGAGGGTCATAGCCAAGTGTAAGGATGCTCAGCCCCAGGGTTCGGTGATGGTGGGCAGGCCGTACAATTCGTCTTCCCTTTTCTGCCATCTCCACTATCAGCTCTGATGAGGCAGAAGGAAACGATCCCCACCTGACTCACCTGAAAAAAGCAGCAGGCTCAGCATTCACCCGGATCTGCATGTGCTTGAACCTGGGCAGACCAAAGGCAATGTGTGCTGACAACGGGCAGTACTGGCCCTTCTCCTTTCTCTAGCCTGGACCAGGAAGATCTCCAGATGAAGAGGAACCTGGCTCCACCTCAAAAAGGCCCAGCCCTTCCCTGAGCTGTCACAGGGCCTGGGTGGGGTGGCAGGAGCCCTGCAGACAGGACGACCCCTCACCTCCCCAGAGGACAGGTGCATTCCTGCCCACACCACCTCCTCCCAGGGCCCAACCTGAAGTAGGAGGCCAAGCAGCACAGTGCAGGGGCTGGATCTATTGGCTGAGCCAAAACAGGAAGGTTGGAACAGAAGCACATGAGAAGACCAAGGGATGATGATGGCCAACCAGACACCGTTCTCGCTGCTTCTCACCTAGAATCTCAATAATGCTCCTCACAATCCCCTCTGCAAGCAACAGTACCATCCCCATTTTAGATGGGAAAACTGAAGTTTAGGGAGGTTCAAGACCTCACCCAAGAGCACATGGCTAGTAACTAGCACAGGCTGGGACTCGAATGAGGCTGTCTCACTCGAGATCCCATTCCTTAACCATTATGCTCGGCCCAGAAACCTCACGCAAGGGAGACATACCTGAAATCCCCCTCCAGCTTCTCCTGCTGCACCAGCTTTGCCACAATGGGCCCCATCAACATTTTGTTCACAAGGGTTCCCAGGATGAAATACCCGAAGATGCTCGCAGGCCCAAGCCAGCCCGTGCTGGAAGGCAGAGAGAGGGAGGGTGGGGGGTGTCACATATCCCCGCAGGCCTCAGCCCTGCTTCTTGCTCTTTCAAGCAGCCCTCGTCCAATCTCAGCCAGCAGTCCTGTGGGACCTCTGCTCCTTTGTGGGGGCAGCAGGCACCTGGTCCAGGTTGTCAGATACCAGGACCCCTGTGACACTGAAACGCCACATGTCCAAAGGGCAGGGGCCCGAGCACAGGACACAGGAAGCCTTCCTGGGCTGCAGGCAGGAGGGAGGAAGACCAGCCTCTTCTGGACCCTGACCTAGGGGAGCTCGTGTAAGTGAGGGACCTTGGGGGGAAACACCTGGGGGGTGGGATGGGGGAGGAGAGGCTTCACCTTTGGAAGCACTGGTAGGTGTAGTAGATGAGGGTGAAGGGGGAGATGATCAGCTTGCTGGCCATGCTGCTGAGCTGTCGGCAGAATCGTTCCACATCCTGGCTGATGCGTTGGTCCCTGGAGCCAACAACAGAGCAACTGGAGCAGGGAGCGGGGTGCGAAGGGTGGAGCGAGCTGAGAGGTTACCTCTTACTCTGACCTTGCCTTTCAGCACTGTTAGCCACGATCCCGGGGGAAGATGGACCCTGACAAGTGCTGCTTTTCCTAGAGGCACTAAGACCTTTAGGACCTTTAAACAGGGTTCTGAAGAGTTGCTTCTTAGGGTGCCTCAGTTTACCCCTCTGGAAAAGTAGCAAATCAAAGGGCCAGTACCCAGGGGTCCTGAGCCAGTTCTGAGTAGCACCAGAGAACAACCCGAGGGTAGAAGAGCTGAGTTTCTGGATGGGCCAGAAAGCTATGCCCTCTCTCTGGCTCCTCCCAATCTCTTCTGCGAACCTGAGCCTGCCCCCATTTTAGCTATCTGGCTGCAGAAGCTTCATATGGGTCGAGTCATGGAGAAGCCTAGAAGATAAGAGGCAACAGGAATCCCAAGAATCTTTGCCACAAAGCTCAGCTTGAGCTGACAAAAGGTCACCGTAGGCAAAAAAGTGCGTGGGGGTGGTGAGTGGAGAGGAAATGAGTGTGGGGAGAGACCCCGTATGTCCCACTGCACTACTGGGGCCACACTGACTCCCATTTCCAATGAGAGACATGACTTTGGACAAGTCACTTGCATTCTCTGGGCCTCAGTTTCCTCACCTGTAAAATAACCAGCGCTAACTCACACTGGGACACTTGCTATGTGCCAGGCACCGCACATGTGCATTGCATGAATATCCTTTGAGATATTGAGATAGGAACTGTCATCCCCATTTTCCAGAAAGGGAACCTGAGGCTCAGTGAACGAAGGCCTGTCAACTGGGAGGTGACAGAATGAAGATCTGAATCTTACACTGAGTCCTGGGCAGCAATAATTTTTTACTGCTGAAAATCCAAGAGCTGGTTTGCGAGCAAGGACACTTTCTTCAGAGGGTGCCTGGTTGGGAAGCACAGGATAGAAAATGGACAAAAGGGAACCGCTCCTATCTTTTAGTGCCCTATTCTCAGCCCCGCAGCTGCTCGGGGGTTCCTCCACGGAGTCCCCTTCCCCTATGGCGCTTATCAACATTTGCAGAGAACTGTGGATGGTCTCAAAGGGCCCACCGCAGGGACTCTCCAGGGCCGAGCCAGACTGACAGAACCCTGCAGAAGGTGGGGAGGACAGAGAGGGGGCGCCTACGGGTTATCGACGTCATCCCGCAACACGTTAAGGGTGTAGTACACGCGGCCTTGGAAGTAGAAGCGGTGAAGGTGCTCGGTGAGGTCCCTTCTCCAGCTCACATACAGCAGGTTGCAGGTGAACTGGTCAAAGCTCTTCAGCTGTGCAGTGGGGAAGCGAGAGGAAGTGAGGGAGAGGGAGAGATGGTTTCTGCACATCTCAGCAAGGAGCTCAGGGCTGGCAGAGTGCATCTGCTGACTGGTCCCAGCCCACTCCGCTTAAGTCTCTGTCCACTCAGCACTTCTGGGTTAAAGTGTCAAGTCAGGGGATTCTTCCCTCCCTCCCTCCCTCCCTCCCCGCCATGCTCATTCCGTCACCAAGCAGAGGCCTCTGGCCCCTTTATGTTGTACTGTCTTATCCTGAGAGCAGGTGAGCTTCCGGAGATTGGGGATGATATCTTCTATGCCATTTATGTTCTCACTTTTCTGTTCCCCCAAACTTGGAACAGAGTTCTGTATACATAGGTGTTTACCACCAGAAGACCCATCCAAAGTGCCCAAGTGTGATGAGAAGGGGAGTCCCCAAGAAAACAGGCCATACAGGCAGGCAGAGCATTAGGCTTGAGTCCCAGCGGAGGCCTGACTCATTGTTCACCACTGATGGAGCACCTACATGCTAAGTCCAAGGCAGTGACAATGAGCTCGGTCTAACAAGGCAACAATTACAAGGGCGTGAGGAGTGTTACAGCAGAGGTTAACTCAAAGTATTAGTTAAGCAGAGAGGAGGGCAGAGTTTGGTGGAGGAAACATGAAGAAGGTTAAGGAGGACTTAAAGAAAGTGACAACAGCAGAACTTGAAAAGTAAGCAGGCATTAACCAAGTGAACCAGGGTGGGGAAGGAAGCCATTCTGCAGGAAAGGAGCAGGTGCAAAGGCTGAGAGGTGTGACACAGTGCCAGGCTGAACCGGCCCCACAGAGAAGCAATAGCCCCCTGGCTGCTGATCCCAGTTTTCAAATGCTTGGGAGTTCCCTGAAGCAAGAGTAATGGGAATGGAAGGGACAAGATCATTTCTGCTAAACACTGACTTAAACCAGAACCTCATGGCCAAGTCCTGGGAGCCTGAAACATCCCAGGGATTGGGCCCAATAACAAGATCAATGCCCTTCTGACCTCCAGTTCCAAGAAAGGGAGGGAACACACACCCACAGCTCGATTCCTGCTTCCTGGTGGCTAAGTCCCAGTGGGCACTGTGCTTACACTAGGCTGGAGAGGAAGAGAAACACAGGGAGATCTTACCATGGAGTTGAGAACGATGAGCACCACAGCCAGGAATGTCAGGGTCTTAAACCCATCCAAGTCTTTGTTTCCCAGGACCCCATAGTACTGACTGGGGATCAAGCCAACCTGGTAGATCACCAGTTGTTCTGGGGTGGGGAGAGGGGTCCGAAGTCAGTGGTGAAGGGAGAGAAAACAAGGAGTCTTCCCCTTGAGTCCTTGCCTTATCAACTCCCCAGACAGAAGGGACCCCAAACCAAGGCTGCCCTCCCCCTGTAGCCTGGGCTCACTCACTCACTCAGTAGGGCGACACACAACAGGGTCAGGAACATCAAGGCATTCTGTGATGACCAGGAGGGAAACAAAACCTTCTGTATCTGCAGGAACCGCTGGAGAAATTGCAGATCTAACCTGGGCCTGAAGAAGAGATGCAGGAGAAGTCGAGAGAACCCTAAGAGGGCAGTTAAGCCTTACAGAGCAGTTACCAAGTTGATCTAGACTGTTCTGGGGAGGGGTCCAGGCCATGCAGGAAGAATGGCTTACCGATGCTGAAGGCAGTAGTCTGGGAACAGACCGGGGAGAGAAAGGAATTTCTTTAAGCTGGTAAATGCTATAAAAGGTGATTTACCAAAAATTTACAGCAAAAAAAACAAAACAAAACAAAAAAACCCATAGTTAATCAAGAAACTTTAGCCACATCCTCTTTATGGTCACAAACATGACAAGAAAGCCCATCAAGGATTTTAACGTCCTGGCTAAATCAATAAAGCAAGAAAAATAAATGAGGTAAAAGAATTAAAAGGGAAGAGATTAAATTGTCTTTATTTGCAGATAATGGGATCATTTACACAGCAAACAGCAAATCAATAGACAAATGCTGGAAATAAAAGGAGTTCAGCTAGATATAGGGTTAACATACAAATATCAACAGTGTTCTATACCAACAATAACCAACTGGAAAATATAAAGAAAATAAGAGGTCACTGACAAAAGAAAAGCACTAAAACAACTGTAAAACATGGGCGCCTGGGTGGCTCAGATGACTGAGCGTCTGCCTTCAGCTCGGGTTGTGATCCCGGGGTCCTGGGATTGAGTCCTGCATCGGACTCCCCGCTCAGCGGGAAGTCTGCTTCTCCCTCTGCTTCTCTCTCTCTGTCTCTTATGAATAAATAAATAAAATCTTAAAAAACAAAACTGTAAAACATCCAGGAATTAACTTTTAAAAAGAATGTATAAGACATTTTTTTTTTTAAGTAGGCCCCCAAGCCCAGCATAGAGCCCAATGTGGGGCTTGAGCTCACAGCCCTGAGATCGAGACCTGAGCTGAGATCAAGAGTCGGAGGCTTAACTGACTGAACCACCCAGGTGTCCCACATTTTTAAGATTTTATTTTTAGGGGTGCCTAAACATGCGCCCCTAAATTTAATCTGTGGCACTACGACCCTAGACTGCCACCGAGGCACCCCAAAAGATTTTATTTTTAAGTAATCTCTCCACCCATCGTGGGGTTCAAACTTACAACCCCAAGATCAAGAGTTGCAAGCTCTACTGACTGAGCGAGCCAGTCGCCCCAGGATGAGACATTTTAAAAGAAAAACGAAAGCTCTATTATAGGATGTGAAAGAAGACTTAAATAGAGCTGGCATGACTTAACATTATAAAGACCTCATTTCTAACAAAAGTAGTCTATAAATTCAATATAATACCAATCACAAGCAGAACTTCTCTGAGGAACTTTATGTGGAAATATAAAGGCCCATGAACAGCTGAGGGCAACTGTGAAAAATAGGAAAGGAGGAATTGGAGACCCAAACCATCAGTTATTAAGACAAATCAGGGGCGCCCGGGCGGCTCAGTCCGTTGGGCATCCGACTCTTGATTTCGGCTCAGGTCTTGATCTCAGAGTCGTGAGACTGAGTCCTGTGTCAGACTCCGTGCTGAGCGTGGAGCCTGCTTAAAATTCTCTCTCTTCCTCTCCCTCTAACCCAACCTTGCGCGTGCTCACACACCCTTCTAAGAAAAAAAAAAAAAAAGACAAATCATAATGCAGGGCTGTGGTTTTATTTTTTTTTTAAGATTTTATTTATTTATTTGAGAGAGAGACACAGCAAGAGAGGGAACACAAGCAGGGGGAGTGGGAGCAGGAGAAGCAGGCTTCCTGTCGAGCAGGGAGCCTGATGCGGGCTCGATCCCAGGACCCTGGGATCATGACCTGAGCCGAAGGCAGATGTTTAACGACTGAGCCACTCAGGTGCCCCAAAACTGTGTTTTAATATAGAAACAAAAAGACCAACGGGACAGAGACCAAAAAGAGCAGGGAGCCCGATGTGGGGCTCTGTGGGGCTCGATCCCAGGACCCTGGGATCATGACCTGAGCTGAAGGCAGGCGGACGCTTAACGACTGAGCCACCCAGGCGCCCCTCCAATTTTTAATTATTAATTCATTAGTTATTAACTGAAAATGGTGAAGGAAAATTAAGGTCATTACCTCAAATCACTTAGATAAAAATTTAAAACTCCAAATGGATTAAAAATCTAATGTGAAATTCTATTTAGTTAATAGAAGAAAAGGAAGAAGAATATCTTAATGAAGATATAGTGGGAAGATATTCCTCAAATAAGACCCCAAACCCACAAATTTTGATAAAGGGGAAAACTAATGGACTTAATTTATTTTTGCTCAATACAGTGCCATAGATTAAATTAAAAGAACTGTGGAAGGTATGTGAAGAGTGTAAAACCAACAAGACATTAAAATCTAGAGCATACAAGGGATTCCTGCAAGTAAGGAAGATAGGAAATCCATGGAAAGTGGGAAAAGGTAGGCTATTCAGAAAAGGGGAAACCCAAATGCTTACTACATGAAAACACAATGTGGATGCCACCTTACAACCCATCAGATTGATAAACATCAGAAAACCAAACAATACCAAACATTCCAAGGATGTGGGGAAGCCAGAACCTTTATGCAATGCTGTTGGGAAGTATAAACTCACGTGCCCATTCCAGAAAACAATTCCGCAGAATTAGTTATGATCTAGCATCCTACCCTGGGGTGGGTAATCCAGAAAAATATTACCCATATTCACAAGGAGACAAGTTCCAGTATATTTGAGGTGGTTAAAAACTGGAAGCATTCTAAGTGTCCATCACTTGGGGAATATATAGGTAAAATGCGGTCCGAAGTACATAGGGTAGTATTATGCAGCCTTCAGAAACTAGATTACCACTGAATGTATGATCTCAAAAACACAACGTTGAGTAAAAAGGTTTTTTTAAAAAAATCACAGCATATTATCATTTATAGGAATTCAAAAACCACTATCTTTCAAGGTAAGAGATACGCAAACTTGTGTAAACTGGGCTGTACACTCTTTTAATACACCAGAGTGGGGGCCTGAGAAGGGCGGTGAAATGGGATTGAGAATAAGGAACATAAAACACAAGAGGGGCCTTGCACTGGACCACAGCGTGCCAAGAACTGAGGGACGATTAACTCAATTCTGTGCACTTGGAAGTTCTTGGGGGGGCGGGGGGGAGCCAGTTCCGAGGGAGAGGATCCCACAGCCAGAGTACTGGAGGCTGCCTCGGATCGCGGGAGGGTGGGCGCCCCTTCAGAGCTCCTCTTTCGCTGGGGCCGGGGCTCTTCAAGTCACACAGCCCCGGGGAGGGCACCCAGAGGCCCGGCTCTCTTCCCCACCGCCCTGCTCACCTGGCGCCAGCCCCGGCCGCGGCCACCGGGACCGCCATGTGCCAGCTTCCACCCTCCTCGCCCCGTACCCCGGAGTCGGCTGGGGGAAGAGTCCAAGGAGCACTAGGTCAGCCTAAGAGGGCGGGCCCACGGTGACCACAGAGAGGGGCGGATAGAGAGGAAGGCGCCGGGCGACGAGGCCGCTCCCGGAAGCGACCCACCCCTCGAAAAGAACCAAAGAGTGCTGAGTGTCACATTTGTCGACCGGGCGCCTACAGCGCCCCCTGCTGGATCTGGGAGGTTTCCTATTTGACAAGAACAGCCGAAAAATGTGACTATTTTATGACAAATATTTTAGACTCGGAATATAGATATTTCATACATTCTCCCACAGAAGCCAGAGTGATCTTTTAATAACATAAATCATGCTTCCGGATTGTTTCCATGGCGTAAGTGATGGCGCCCTCCCCTTAAATCTTCGTTGAGTGGCTACTGTTTCCACCTCAGGGTCTTTGCAAGTGCAGTTGTCCTGGCTGGGAGCTTTCCCGTGGATGGCTTGCTCTCAAAATTAGTTCAAATGTCACCTGGTCAGCCTACCTAGAATATGCCATCTTGCCCACATCATTTCCTATTGTATTACCCTTCCTTCCTTCCTCCCTCCCTCCC